CTGACATGACAAGGATCAAACTTATTTTTACAATCACAGACAAGATATAAAAAAAATCTGTAACAAGTTTTCGAATTTTCGGGTTTTTACCTTGTTCTTACTACCTGTAACGGGTAAACACATGATGCTCCAAGAGCTCCTGATGTCATTCCACAGCTCAGCTGTATCAGAGGACCCGGCTCTGCAGAAGTTTTAGCTGTTTTAGTATATATCATAGAACAATCATATGCGAATAAGAATAAGGATCTACGGCTTTAATGCTCTAACCAGTGTCCTGAAGAATATATGTTCTGGATAAGTCTTTTAGCGTTTCATATGCAGCGAGGTCAATTCCTGCATATGGAATAATCCCAAGAAGAGAAGGAAAGAGACCCTTGTAGAACGCCCGAGGTCCCTCTTGTACCCATATATCTTTTGTGAGCTTCCACAACTTAGGTGCCTTCCCACCTTCACTGACACAAGTCTGTAACCGAGTCTTCACTAGATCCATAGGGTAAATAGCGGTTTGAGCCAATGCACCAGCCATTCCACCAGCCAAAAGCCTCCCACTTGTACCAATATCACCATCCTCCCCCCCAATCATGGGTTTTAGCATTTCGTAGGCACAAAACTTAATGGCGCTTTCAGGAGCAACCTTCATGACGTTTAACCCATTACCTCTAAAGAAACCCATCAACTTATCTTCTCTCCATATCTTCTTAATTGTCGGGAGGACCCCTGCGTGTGCCCTTTGAACTTGTAAAACAACCTTCAGACGATCAAGAGGTGCGGTTGCAGTTCTAGAAACAGCTCCGGCTAGTCCTCCAGCTAGAAGTAACCTGCTTCTTTTCACATGTTTGCTTATACCATCCGGTATAACAGCTTGCTCCCCAATATCTATCAAGCACACCCGTTCCCAGTGATGATAAATGTTTTCAAGGGTGGCTTCATGAGGGTATAACAAAAGAAAATCTCTCCACTCTTCGAATGTTATAGTTCCATTATTGTCCTTATCAACATGTTCCACAAAACGAGCGAGTTCCTCATCATCGATCTCAATGCCTACAAGAACATAACTGTAGGGCTTATATAGGTTGGTGATACTCAACAATCAAAAAAGAAAACATAAAAAGCTACTACAAGACCGATTAACCAAGAATACATTGTAACATCAACACAATGCCATTATAGCAAATTCACCATAAACAATCAAAATCCAGAAATCTCATAAAGGTACGAAATTTACATTATGATCAATAGCAAAAGTAACAGTAGAAATGGAACAGTAACAGAATCACATACCGGCCTTAACAAGAGCCTCCCAAAGCTCCTCAGGCAAAATGCAGCCATTGTGCTCAACATCAATGGCTTGGAAAATCCTATACAGCTCAAGCTCCTTAGCATCAATATACCGACGAAACTCCTGGTAATCCACACGCCCATCTCGATTAGCATCGCAGACTCTAAACAAATCTCTAGCATACTTGTACTCAGGAGGAATCTGAAGCGAAGCAAGACCCTTTTCGATCTGGGCATAATCTAAGAACCCTAAATTCGAATTATCGAAGAAATCAAACAAACTACGAATCCTGATCTCTCTCTCATCCATAGTCTCACGTAACGCCAATAGAACATGCTCCATCGTGACGGATACAGGTTTCTTCATCGGATTACGGTTTTTCGACTTCGACGACTCCATTGCTGATTCGCGATCAATCGAGATTGCCCCAATTAGAATGCTTTACAAGAGATTTGAATGATTCTAAGGATCATTCATCTCCTTGCGTATTTATACAGAGAGTGAGTCCTGGGTTTTGAGAAAGAAGACCTGCTCACAACACAAGAGCACCGAAAGAGTCTTCACGTCGAAGACGAAACACAATCCCCCAAAAATTCAAAGTTTGGAAATTTACTTCACTTTGGAGTCAGAAACGTAAAGGGGTTAATGTGTTGTGAGGCTCAGTGGCTATAAACGATGGAAGATGGCCGGTGAAGCAAAATCCGGCTCCGTCATCTGTCAACCGCAAGTGACGGTAACATATCTCTCTATCTTCCCTCGCCTGACCTTTTGCTATTCTCCACGTGCTATTCCAGACGACACGTGCGAATCAGTCTAATTGAAACCGGGCGTTTCCGGTTTGAACCAAAACCGAATTGGTCAAATGTGCTTGATAAGAAGTGCGTTTGACCGTATTAAAAACTTCCATTAGAAAGAGGAAAAAAACTTTAATTTAAATAATTTGTTAGAGATTGGTTAGTTAGGTGATTGATAATTTGGTAGTGATATCTTCTCGCCGGTTCTGTTTCCGGTTTGGAAATTTGAGGACATGACTACCAGATTACTTAGCTAATTAACACATATTTGTATCAGTAGTTCAACAACCGACCTTAGCTCAGTTGGTAGAGCGGAAGACTGTAGTCTGTGACAGAAAATCTTTAGGTCGCTGGTTCGATTCCGGCAGGTCGGACTTTGTTTTTTTTTTTTTTGCCATTCCTTTACAATTTTGTAGTTTCTTGTCGCTCTATATGCTGTGTTTCAAATGTGAGATCTCAAAAGAATCTGACTTACATAGCAGAAGAAGATGCCGTTTTTATTCCCTACGAAAGCAAAAGATTCTGATTCTACAGATTATAAGATCCTCCTTCCATTTTACAAAACAAAAGATTCTGATTCTATACATGTTTCTTTTCACTTTTATCAACTCAGACATTTTTGGAACAGATCCATCAAAAAATATTTTAACACAAGGTACATGAATGCTTATGCTTATGCTTTCACCGACGAATTTCAACAATCGTCACCTTGAAGAACTAAAAAGCTTGACAAATATAATGTAAAACGTGGCTTAAACATTTTTGAATCTTTGGTAATTAATTTAGCAAATCAACTTGAGAAAACCTCGCTTTGGATGCCTGTAATAAAATGGGCCAGACTATTTGTGAACGAGAAGTGGGCTGCGTTATTTACAAAATGAGTGAGTCGGTGCAATTTGAACATCCCTGAACGTGTACATACGTACGTCTTTTAAATTACATTTAATAGTGTATACATATGGTATGCATGCACGTATTCATATACGTCTTTGGGCCGATAAGTTTGAAATAGGAGAAAAGGCAGTGGTTGAGATTTGCGAGAGTTTGCTTAGAAGGCCGCAAAGGTTGACAGGGCGGTGAGGCCGGCGTGCGTGCGGGTGCGGCCATCCCCAATTTCCCTTCATTTGTCAACCATGTCATTTCTTGATTCTCTTTAACCATATATTCTTTTTGTCGGGATAAATTTTATATAATAGCTGTATTTGTGTTTAGTCATTTAAACTGTTTTCTTATCAACGGTCGATATTCGTAATCGTATATATAAATATATGAAATATCAAATTAAAGACTACTTTTGAGTATTTCGAATAATGTAACATGTTAAAAGAACATGAACTTTCTACAAAAATAGTTTTATTTTTTCTATAACAATTCGTTAAAAAAAACATATATAATGATAATCTGGCTGTCTTAATTTGTTCAAAACAACTCTTTTTCTAAATATTTGTGAATCTTGTTTGTAACATAGTGGAACCTTTTGTCTTTACATTTGAAAATTGTGTAGCAATTGGTCACTGTTTTCCCGACAAATACTACTTTATCTAAACCGACCAGAGGCGATCCCACAGTTCATATGCCTAGCTAATTAATTAGTTGATCCCTTAACATATTCAGGCTAATTATTCATCTTTCACTGTTAATTAAAAGTTTTAAGCAACTAACCATTTACGCTAATATATCGGGAAATTTTATAAAGAAAAACAGGTTGAACTGAACTTTTTGATCATAAATAAACCTGTGTAGCTTCGCTATAGACTATAGTCATACAGGTGTCATACACGCGCCTTACTCACGAACCGAATACAAAGACTTTTTTTTTGTTTGTTGAAAAAAGGGCGAAAGATTGCTTTTAAAGTTCCACGAATGTCTTGAAGTTGAAGTACAAATATTTGTCGGCGGCCGAGACATACCAATAAGTTTTAAGCACTAACCATTTACGCTAATGATCTAACACGCATGTAAAAAATGAAGAAACAAGCATAAAAGACGAAAAAACTATAAGTATAACTGTATAAGATCGACAAACAAAGAGGAGATAACGCGTTGGTCGGAAAGTATTTAATAATAACGATATTCATTATCATCGTAACCATCATTTCACTTGATATGATGATAAGAAAAATGAGTCTTTCAATTTCAAAATGAAATGATTTTTCATTTCTGAATCTCATATATGTACATTGAATCTAACTCTAGTTGTTGATGCTCTCTAAATTTAGGTTTTTCACCATCATACCATTTATAGGATTGAAATAGAACTGTGACACAATGACAACATTAACATTAACAAGCATTTTTCAAAAAAAAAAAAAAAACATTAACATTAACCACTACTTGAATTCTAATTGTCTTCTAAATTTAAGTATTAGTCATATGTATATACATTTAAGAATCTGTGACACATTTCTATATATATATATGTTAGGAATGTTTTAATAAATATAATAAACTGAAAAAATTAAATAAAAAACATGGGTCAAAAGGAGTCAATCTCTTTGGATTGACAAAAGTCAAGGATTTGAAACAAACGCTCGGGGAATCTGTTCTGGTCAAGCTTTCATACTTGTTAGTTGTTTACTTCTAAGGCCAGTATCTCTATCTTTAAGAACTAGAAAATTGCTTGTAACCGTCATGTAGGTATGCTACTTTGCCTTATGTCTTGTAAGATACACGGTAACATGTATTTTCATTCAATAATGGAAAATAAATAAAAAGCTTTGGTTTGTTATATCTGCGTTGGCAATATAATGGTCACATAAACAATGTAATCCGGAATTTTGGCAGTTAACTATAATTTTATGTGTCTACATGATTGTTTGTTTGTTTGAGGAAACTCCAATAAATTTAAAGGGTAACACTCTGTATAGATGATTTCTTCTTTAATACAAAACGAAATACCCCACCAAAAAAAAAAAAAAAAAACTTAAATAAATCCAAATGCAAGGGTTGTAAACAAAGAACCCATGAAAACTCTTGAAAGAAGAAATAAACAAAGTGATCACAAACAACACATGCATAATGAAAATACAAAAAAAAACTCAAGAAACATATGATCCCCTCATAACAAGTGCCCAAATCCCTTATTACCAGTTTATTGAGTATTTCAAAAACCAGAATTAGGAGGTGAAGAATCCCCAAACCGCAAATATTTGGCGTAATCTTGTTCATCTTGTTGCCTTGAAGATCCACCAGACGATGAAGAATTTGTATTAGATAACGTCTGATGATTATACATTGAGCCTCCGGTTTCCCCACCGGCCAAGCTATAGCTTAGTGCATCGTTACTATTTCCTCCTTGAAGAAGATATTGGTTATAGTAGTATTGGTTATAATATGGTATGGTTTGCGGATTAGTCTGCGGATTTGAGTAGTAAATTTGATTATTAGTAGAGTAATAGTTTGGTGGACCGGTAATAGTACTAGTGTTACTTGCTAGTTGAGCTCTCTCAGGGAAATTGAGTTTGGCTTTGCTTCCTTTGAACTTAAGAGCTGCTTCATCATAAGCTAAAGCCGCAGCTTCAGCAGTCTCAAATGTCCCGAGCCACACCCGTGCTGCCTTTTGCGGATCCCGAATTTCAGCTGCCCACTTTCCCCATGGTCGTTGTCTTACCCCTCTATAGTGCCTCTTCCTCACGAGCCCTAATCAACAAGTGAAAACATTCATATATAAAGATATATATGTTCTTGATAGATTTCTCATATATATACTATCAAAATTTGCGTTATAAGAAGAGATAGATTTCTCAATTTTAAAAAATTTATGCTCATTTTCCATGCACATATTATCACATAAATATGATAATATGTCAACTATATATATAGATGTAAATATACCTTGATCTTGAGTCGGAGGAGCCGGTTGGTTAGGATTTTGTTGATTATACACAACAGGTTGATGTTGAGTATTATCATGAGAGCTGCTTTGGTTACCAATGACTTGAGTCAAGGCTGAGACCATGGCACGCATGTCATATTGGGATCGGGCCGAGAAGAAAGGGAATATGTTCTCATCATCATCGCCTTCTTTCTTTTCATCCGATTCGTCGGCTCGAAAGGGCCTCTTTCCATAATTTCTTGAATTCGCCAGCGTTGCAAATATCTTTAAACCCCCTTTTTCAGGTGATCTAGAATTTGTTTATAGATTAGGGTCTATATAAGATCTTGAATTCAGGATGCGTTGAACATGAGAAACAAAAAAGACGAAGAAGGAAAATGAAAGAGGGAATATATAATTAGGGTTTTGGGTATTTGAAGGTTTTATAGAAGCATTTTCGTCTGTGTGAACATAAAGACAAATAACAAAATTTAACGTCAAGCTGAAGTTTTGCATATTCTTTTAAAAATTATATTTCTAGCTATGATAATTTTCGAGACATATAAATCATGTACTTATATCAGTGTAACCTGCTGAACTGTAGAGACGCGTGAAAAAAGCTTTTTTGATTTGCTTATTGCAAAAAATGCGTACGTGTGAATCTGAACAATTTAAGAAATGGATATCAATAAAGATTAGTAGAAAAGCTCTAATAGAAGAATGTAAAAATAATATGAACGCTATATAAAGATCCAAAATGACAAAAAGGGAAAAAAGAGAAGAAAGAAAATGCATGCATGTATATATTCTGTTTAATTGTTTCTTTTCGAAAACACATGGAATCAAAAGAATAGTTATATTCTTTTGAAAGTTTGATTTAAAATACAAAGAAACATAGACATTCTTCGTGTATAACTATAAACCGACAATCTCTGGAAAAGTTATGAAATAAGAAAATAATTAAATTGTTTTACATATATGTTGTGATATATATAGAAAAAGGAGTTTACGTTACGCGAGAGTGGGGTCTTTATTTTTCCTATAAAAGATTTGGATAGAGATTGAAAGACAAATTTAGTTATATTCGAAAAATATGTACACACTGATCACTAACATGAATAAAAACGTGTGAATTGAAAATGTTGTTATACATGGAGGTACTTAAAGATAATTCAAAGATGTTTTCTAATTTCATCTATATATCTAGAAATAATTCACTTAAAACTTCGTGTTAATGGGGGTAGTTTTTATCCAGTAATGAACAAAACATTTTTACATGCAAACACAAAGTCCAAGATTCAAGTTTTATTAGAAAGAAAAAAATAAGCGGATTATATATCACAATTCATGAGATCAAACTTGGAGTAAATTTTAATAGTCATCCAAAATTATATGTATATGTTATAACGGGCTAGATTAAATACTGTTAATATTTTTTAAATAAACGATAAAAAGAAAAATTAGCGGATCTAGATCGAGAATGTTTACAATGTTCACAATATAATATAGTAATACATCTAAAGAGCCATTTTGGTATTAAACAAACTATTAAGGATTGTTCACAAAAGCACTTTGTACGGGCCCTTGACAAGTCTTTTTTTTTTTCGCCAACTCTACTAGCCCTTGACAAGTCACACAATTCACAACTAACGATATTTCCTTATCTCAAATATTAAATTTCCTAAAAACTCGCTTTTGATATTCTAAGAAAATCACTTTTTTAGGTAGAGACAGACAGAGGTTTTTTTCATTACGGAAGTACGAGTAGAACCAAGAGAGTTGCAATCGAGAAACTCTTGTCTTTTTAGTCATGTTTTGTTGCACGTGGCACATATTTGTTTATTTGTAATTCTTTCCCAACAACAAGTAACATGCATTTTGTTTTTGGTTTATTTGAAAAATATGTAAAACTCAAATTCAATTATAATAAAATGAACAAATTAAACATATATATAGTATGACATCGTGAAAAAACGTAGGATAACACGTTTTGAAGGGACGACGATAAAATAATTTATATTCAAGATTGGAAATTATGAAGCAAACTTAAGGATCTATAACGTACTCACTTGATCTATGAATAATTATGATTTAATATTTTCATATTCTATGCAAAAATGACATTGTATAGCTAAGAATACGACAAAAGAAAGTGAATATTTTTTAATAAAGTCAATCTTACGGAAAAAAAGTAAAGAGTATCGTATAACAACATGTCAATGAGTTTGAATTTGATTGAGAAATAAAAAACTTTAAAACAGTATTTACACATGCATGGGTAGGTATTTTTAGATTTGTTGACCAAAAAGAGAACGAAGAAACAACATTTTGTGAATTTGCCAAGCAGGGAAAATGAGTTTTACGACGTCACATAATTTAACTTTGATTATTTTCTAACCTCTGCATATCAACGACTTGACAATTTTTGTTTGTACGTTTATATTTACTTTCAATTTTTTTTTTTTTTTTTTTTTGCTAAGCTTGTAAATATCATTAGAAATGAAGGTTGAGGTATTACAAAGAGATTTACTTTCAATTTTATGACAATTATAACTATATAACATAAAATGTATCTATACACACAAAAAAAAAAAAAAAAAAAAAAAAAAAAAAAAAAAAAAGTTAGGCTTTGAAAAATCGGATTTTACAGTTTTCATTCATAAGTGTTTATTTGTTGTTGTTGTAAAATATCTATTTCAGCGACAAGTACGGTAAAGATAATCAACGGTCACGTTTATTAAAAGTTAGGCTTTGAAAGTCCACCTAAATCCCAACCAAATTAAGAAAGTCAACATATAAATTTGTTGACCGTTGAATATGCCCAAACCAACTTATAGTTTGGCAAATTAATAATATTAATAAAAATAATCTATGTTTTTGGCAACAAATCAAGAGTGATGAGATAAATAGAATTTGACGTGGAATACTGGAAAATGGAAAAATTCCAGACAATATAATATAGGGAAAAAAAGAAAAAAAAAAAAAAAAAACAAGATAAACGACAGCGTTTAGAGCTGTGACTGATGTATGTACAGTGTTGAGACTGTGGATCAAGAAGAAGATGAGGTAGTAGTTGTGGTGGTGGGAGTGATATTACGGTTTCTCATATACGTCAAAAATTGTGTAGGCAATTCTGCTAGAAGTGCTTCTACCACTGAGACCTCTCCATCTGCACAACAACAACAACAAACACAATGATCAGAGACAAAAACGCTGCCTGACAAATCAAGAAACACAAAACTCACATTGTATGTCTCGTAATGCAACAAACTGGACGATATCACGCGATGCTATGCGACCGCTGGAGCTCTCTAATTTCTCTCCTTTATCTCCATCTAGTACCTACACAAACAACCAACACATAACCTTGTAAGAATCTATTTCAAGAAGTTTTTCAAATGAAGCTAAGCATAATGTTTTTTTGTTAAAGAGAACCTCCATTTCTTTATAGTCAGCTCCTCCGACTCCAACAATGAGGATTGATAATGGGAGATCCGATGCACTGACAATTGAGTCTCTCGTTTCTTGAAGATCTGTTATTACTCCATCCTATAAAAACCGACATTGTATTTTTATATAGCAAAAAAACACGAGAACCAGAGGGAAAACATGTCTTTTTTGTATATAAACTCACTGTGATTATTAACAAGACGTAATATTTCTTTGCACTTTGAGCGAGTGAGTCGCTTGCGATTGTTGCAGCAGCGTTGATCACAGGACCAAATAGAGTAGGCCCTGCAAAAGAGACGTTGAAGAGAGCACCATTGTAGGCATTCATGATACCTTGAATCCCATCTACCTGAGAAACAAACAAATAAAAAAGATTAATTGCGAAAGTTTTGATACAAAAGTTTGTTCAATGTGAGTAAGATTTGTAGCAAGACCTCGCAATAAGTACTGCTTCCGTTGAGGTTAAAGCAATGTGAGACCGGGATGTCGATTGGGCGAGCTCCAAAACCCCATGCGGGAAAGCGTTTGTCTGAGTCATAGAACTGCAACACTTCTCCTACTTCAACTATTGCCTGAATAGAATGACAAAGATCACACACACAGTCACCAGCTTCTGCAAATTAACTTGAAAAGATCCGAGTCCTTACTCTCTGGTAGGCATTTAATCGTCCTGTAGGATCGATGTAATGCAAGGAATCTGGGAGACGAGGATTTCCATTTGAAGCTGATGGAAGAAGGGACATTTTGATTAGTTTAAAGGTGATGTATTATGAGAAACTCTACAGTTTTCAGATCCTTTTTTTACCTGTGAAATCAATGGCGACCATGAAGTTCAATTCAAATCCAGACGCCAAGTATTCAAGGAATGTATGCTGGACGGTTTCAGTAAACTTGTCCACGAAAAGCTGGCTCTTTAATACCTGAAATAATGATAAATGGTATCAGAATTCTCGCATTTTAAATTGTATAAAAACCTCTTGTTGTTGAAGGTCCATACCCTGTCTTCATGTTTATGTCCAACACCAGTAGATAAGACTAAATTGATTCCTTGGCCAGCCAAATGAAGCTTTTCTAAGTCTGAAAGTGATTTCTGAACTTTTCTGGCAAAACCAATAAGAAACAAGAATTATCTCAGCATACCAACTCAATTTTATATCCCAAAAAGAGGAACTGCGATTTTGTGGTTACCCGATAAGATCGTGATTGCCATTTCCATTGAAGTCTAAACATTCTATTACCAGTGGGCTGTCCTGCAGGATTAGAGAAGAGAAACTGTTACATCTTACTGGTTAGAAAAACTAAGATATAAGAAACCTCTCTGGTTGGTTTACCTTACTCCCCACTTGTTGAACACTTAGAGAGACTGGTTTCCAAAGTGGATTGGGATCATTCTTTAAGACTTCGGTTTTAGAGACCGGGATTGGACTCCCGTGCTCTACAATCTTAGATATCACCAAAAAAGGGTCCTGAGCATGAACAACAACAATGTTATATTCATGTCTAAAGTAACTTCTGGTAAATTGGTCAAAGAATATAGCTTACACTTTTAGAGAAAGTATCCTTTGATTCCAAATTCAACCCCCTAAATACAATCTCTGTATTGGTCTTAGAAGCTAGAGACTCCTCAGCATGGACAATAAGCTTTCCACTGTTTTGTGGCTGAGTCTGTGCAGCAACACCTTCTTTACGCATAAGTTCTAAAGCAATCGTCCTATTTGATTTGGTAACAACCTGCATAGTAAATACAACATCTAAATCAATACTAATCTATAGCAAGTAAACCTTCTCTTTCTTACACTAAAATGATGTTTCTTCTTTATACATTTCAAAGCAGCAGTAGAGAGGTTTACATACCTCGGACAATGTACACGTTGCCTCACCGAGAAATTGCTGCTCGTCGAGCTTAAGCAACTGAAACAATAAAAAAGTGAAACACTTGTAACTATATTAAGTAAGATTCAGTGACTAACGGAAGATGGAACATAGCAGATACCTCCTCCTTAGAATTTTGAAACTGAGTGTCAATATCATAGACACGAAACCTGTGAAACAAAAGGTGTTAAAGTTTATTCCTTTTCCTCAAATTTTCTAATATAACCAAGGTTTCAAGGAACTTCACTTACAACAATGTTTGCACAACCTCGAACTGATAACCAATAGTAAAATTCTTAATCCATTTAGGATTCAAAGAATTCAAAACAACTTCACTACGGAACAATTCAGCAAGTGTTCCATCTCTTCCTTTTGTATAAACAACCACCATTGCATCACTCTGCGATATAACAAACCACGTAATGATATAAAGCTTATACACTATCTTTGAATCAACCTATAACACTTAATTGGCTCCAGCAATACCAATTTTCTGAAACTAAAAAACGAACCTTTGAAATCACGTCCCGGTCTCGCAAATTGGAAGCTGAGAAAGACAACTGCGAACAATGAAAAAAGATGAGTGAAACCGAAATTTTCAAATCTTGGAGAAAGGAAAAGGAAGAAACGGACCTCGATCTGAGAAAAGAGGCCATTGTAGCCACGAGACTTGAGATAGTAGTTAACGGCGTCGTTAGGAGTGGCGGCGGAGGAAGTAGTCCCACCACCAACACCGACCATTCCACCACCACCGTAAGAGCCATCAGACCAGCAGCTTCCCATTAGGACGGCGAGAGTTCTTCAGAACAAAAAGTGAAGAAGAAGGAGGAGATTGGGGAATGACGAAGAATGAAGGAAGAGGAAAAATCAGGACAGTGAAGAGATGGGACCCACCTTTGTTTTTCCAAGTCGACGATCTGTCTTTGACTCCATTTAATTTCCTTTATTGTTGTTTTCCTTTATTATCAATAATTATTGACAAATTAAGGACAGCATAAAGAATTATTACCGAAATTAATTAGTATAGGTTTATCGTTTATGTTTGTTTAGTGGAAAACTAGACGGTCCATATGTATTAAATTTGGCTGTAAGATCACGTGAAGATATTTACTACAGCCGGCTACTAAATATATTTTGGTCCACATCTGAAAATTGTCTTAGTTTTAATTATTACTAGTAGTATCAGATTTAAGCCGACGTTTATGAGATAATTTTGTTAATAGTTCTATTGGGAATAAAAGTATTTTTTTGAATTTTATTAGTATTAAAATTTTGTATAATGCGGTGTGACTGGAATTGAAATAGGAACAAAGAAAGAAAGAGGGAGACGTGAATAATAAGACACACAAATTTTTACGTAATGACCAATTAAAAGATTTCGCCACCAGAAAGGCAAACAAACCTTTTTCAAAAGCATAATTACTGGACAACATTTATAGTAACTTTTTGTTTCTATAAATATAACAAGAATAAATATATGGCTCAGTGAGATCGTTCCTTATCCAAGAGAATCATCAAGTATGGGGTTCAAGACCAAACCCAATTGCTTCATTCTTTCCATAGCCTTTAAAGCAAGGTCCTCCACTACCATAAATGGGCCACTAACTTTAATGGGCCGAAAATCTCCAAAATGTTTTTTTATTTTTTTGCTTATAAAAAACTGTATATTGGATTATCGATTTAAAACTATTTTTGATATTATATAACGGTAAATAAGTAAGTGTTCGAATCGATTTTTGGGATATTCATGATTCTTATTATTATTCCAAGAGGAAGGCTTAAACAACTGACTTGTGTCAGAAGCTTATAAAGTGACCGACTAAGATTAAAAGAAACACTAAAAACCAAAAAGAAGAAGGCAATGCCAAAAACTTCGCCCTCAAAAGGGTTTACATAAAAATATGGTCCCAAAACGCTGGCGAAGAAACTGAACACATCGTACTAGGTTGTTACATTTCCATGCGAAGTACAAAGAAAAGATCCTTGCAGACACAACCCAACAATTTTTAAGTAAAACAGAAAAAAAAAATTAGAAAGCAAAAAAAAAAAAAAACAAGCAAGATTTTCTCTGGGAGGTTTAATGATACAACAAAACTTGTGAAGCAACCTGATGAAGGAGTTTAAAGGACCAAGACTTCAAAAACTTTCTCCTCTGCAAAATGAGTTTTCTCAGGTAATTTACCACACCCCCCAAGGATTTACAGAGCTGTGGGGTTGTCAACGATATATATATTTTTACCTTGTGTTAATCTTTTGGGTCTCTTTTCTTTTACCTCTGATACAAGACGCCTAAGGGTTAGTCTGGCTTACGACCTGAAAACTGTCTGGCTCATCTGTTACATCGAGTCGTTCCCATTTCCAGGTTCTTCTCGGTTTTCAGAGCTACTGCTAAAGTTGGTGTAATTCTCGATGCTACTTGTTCGATGCTTGCCTGGTCTTGACCGGATGTTGGAACCCATTGGAAATGGTTCCTGCACATTCACAAATGAAGCAATCTCTCATAAAAAAAAGCTAATCAAAAGGGAAATACGTTCTCTGATTAGGACCAACTATGAACCTAATTTATATGTGACACACTATAGTGAATACATAAGTAACAAACGATATGATTACTTGCAGCAGAAATAGGATAGAATTTGAATAAGGATTCTAATTGAGCCATTGTCTTCCTTACCTGATCACCAGCATTTGGACCAGCAGTGTGGAAGAGAATAGGCCTGCAACGTTTGTCTTCGTTCATCAAACTTGAGTTCTGGAAATGGGCAATAAGAGCTGATTTTCCCTGAATCCGACCATATGCAAGAGATGCCACCTTCTCGCTGTTGAACTTTTCCCATTTCTTACCGTTGAATGCCTGTTAAGGTTTTAAACTTGTAACCAAACGCTTTTTTTTTCTAAACGACAAAGATACATTATTAACACAAATTGATCATAAAAAGGTACAAGGCTATATACCTTATAAAAGGGAACAATATTTTCAGGTTCGGTAAGGTTGATGAAAGCATATCCCACATTGCATTTATTCTGCAAATAGAAGGTTCATTTATATCGATGTTGAAAATACCGTTAGCTACAAGGCAGCATTAGACTCCATTAGATAAAAAGGTAAGAGGCCTGCGTACCTTGAAGTCAATTGGCAAATAAAGGAAATCATATGTTCCTTTACAGTACTCATCAATAGCAGCTAGAAGCATCTTAGAAGTATACCTAAACCATTACCAGAACAAAGACAAATAGGATAAAATAAGCAACCTATTCACTTATTAGAAATGTTATAATACAGGGAATAATAGGGAGAAAAAGTGAATTCACTTGCTTGTTAGGAATGTTCTTTATCATCAATGTTGTTCTACTGTCGTCCCCACGTAATATGCGATCAACATCAAGCTCATACAGTTTCTTTTCAGCATTACTAGAGCTAGATTCACTTCTTCGGTGAGAGAGATTCCTGTATCGTTCATTAGGTAAGTCAAATGAGCCTGACACTGAAAGCATTGGGCTCCTTCCAGTAAAGAGGTGAGGAATCTGTCGCGATGATCGCAATACAGCATTTTTTGAATTGGTATCCATGCGATTCCCACCAACATGAGAAAAAACCTTATGAGAACCGATTTCCATTGGATGTGAGGGAGAAGAGCCAGGAAATCCCATGCTACCGTTAGAACTTAAGTGAAATCCTGAAGATTCTGGAGATTCAGCTACATATGCCTGTCTTCTATCCCAAAAAGGTGAGTTTAATACCGGGGCAGATCCAATGTGGTGGTGCACAGGCGATGATGCCATGTTCACCATTAGAGGAGATGCTCTAGAGAATGCAGTAACAGGTGGGATGCGCTGAGAAGGAATGCCGTTGACACGAGATGGTGAGTTAGGCCACATCATGCCACTTGACTGATTATGTTGCTGAGTGTTAGAGTTACTCCATAAGTTGAGGTTACCGCGATGGGATCCTTGATTTATGGGAGATCCTATGACTACAATAAGAAAATACAAAAAATACAAATGAGCAAATGTAATTCCGATACCGTCTTTGTAAGATATTGGTTGAATCAATATAAACATCCTTAATTAGATATTGTACTCATGGATTATATTCTACAATCTACAGTAAACTATTCTTCTTAAACTCACAATCGTTGGTTACGCATCATCACTAACCTTAAGCAAGTGTATCAAGGAAGAAAAGAATAAGAAGAACATGTACTTACCACCTCCATTAAATCCATCTACGCCCAGTCCACGAACATTGCTCATCATAAAGCCCTCATTTGCTTTTTGGCCATCGCTTACCATTTCAGAGAATGTAGTAGAGGATTTATATGGACTACCGCTTCCAAAGTTGTCAAGGTAATCAGGAAAATGAGGATGGAGATTTGGCATACTTTGGATGCCCGTTTTCGAATTATCAAATGGGTTTCCAAACTCCTGAAGACCAACAGGCTTGCTAGCTGAGATGACTCTTGCCGATGGTGGCAAACCAATAGGAACATTGAGACTCTGATGACGCTCAATGAAGGAGTTCACAGGTGACCCAACAGAATTGTGCATAGCTCGAATAGATCCACCATCAATGGCGGTCGAAGCTAATATTCCTGGGAAATGTCTCCCTGAAACAGAGATGTTAAAGGATAGGTATGAGTTGTTACCCTGGATGCTCAATCATTGAGAAACGAATAATCATAAACCATGGTGCACTATTATACCCATATGTGCTGATGATAGGTTATTAAAAGCCATATTAGGTAGACTCCCCTCACCATCATCTGCAGTGAACTGTGGCGAGAAACTGAAAGAACAAAAAAAAAGTATGATGAATCCTACACATCAACACAGTTCAAATACGGTAGTCACATCAGACAGCCATAGAGAAAAAACTAAGGCGGGAGAAGAATAGATAACTACCTTGTACCCTCTGGACAGGTTGGTGCAAGTTTAAGCTGCCTCCCAGCGACCTCAAGTCCATTTAGACCTTGAAGTGCAACCTCTGCCTTTCGAACATCAAAGAACTCTATGTAAACTTGTGAGTTCTCATGCATCGTTCTACGAAGCTACAGACAACAGAAATAGCAAATTATAACAATGTCATATAACCGTCAATATCACAAAGCAAGAACAAAGAGAACACTAGTAAGCAAACCTCTCTAATTTCTCCACATGAACTGAATATTCTGTGAAGCTCTTCATTTGATATAGAAGAATCAAGATTATTTACCCACAAGGCTCCTTCGCTGGAGTTCTCTTTTTTAGGATTTTCCTGATATCACAAAAAAAGAGTAGTAAGCAAGATATAAGACACAGCAAAAATGACAGGTACACAACGCACATAGAACGGAAAGAAATCACGATCATACAAACAAGGGGGATAGGAACAGTGAACCACACCTTTGGGATAGAATAACGAATATCAAGCTTCCTTCCCCTTAAGAGCCCACCATGGAGTGCTCTCGCAGCATTCTGAGCAGATCTTATATCATAGTATGATACCATGATAAAGCCACGATTCTTGCCAGCTGTATGAAGAGCCCGAATATCTCCATATTGCTATAAATATAAATATATCATCAATGAGAAGAGAAGACTACTAAAATTTATAATACCATGTCTTGCAATAATTTAGGAACCCGTAACCAGAAACGCGGGTGAAATTACGTACCTTAAAAAGGACCCTCAGCTCGCCATCTTCGATGATGCTATCCACATTCCTAACAAAAAGTATTCTGGATAAAATTTCACCTTGAGGATGATCACCAACAATCAAAGCATTGCTGCCTCTCTTGCCATCTCTTTGACCGACAGACGAGAAAACATCTCCATCTAGTTCCATGCCACCAACACTGCTGAATAGGTCACAATCATCCAAATCATCTCCACCATTGGCACGAGACTTATGGACACCCTCACCAACCACTTCTGCAAAAAGATCATCCTCATCTGGAAGAAGGTTTCCAATAGTTTGCGCCTCCATCTCTTCTAAGGACTCAGAAGGTTCTTCCTCACGGTTTGCAGACATAAAGGTTAACTTATCACTCCGTGGTAGCCGTACTGCAAAACCAGTAATTTGGAAACACATATCACAATAAATTACAAATCAAGGGCAGACAGTCAGAGCATACAAAGAATAACAACAAAAACGATTTGTAAGAGTGAATAAGAAGCTTACATTTTCTACTAAATAGGTCAGACAGAGAGCTGGAAAATAGACTGCTCTCCCAGTGAGTGTCACTTGAAGTAGTTCTTCCATTAGGGATAAAGGAGGGGAGCGCCCCAGATAAGCTTGATTGCTGCGAGAGCTGGTAACTATCAGATGTCCAAGAACTAGTCGGTAGATTCGAACTTCTATCCACACCACCTTCAGGCATTGGATTGTTTTTCATGAAACCAAATTGTTTCTGCACAATAAAACATCAAACGTCTTGAGAAAAACCGTTCTACACATGAAAATACTATTGTTCATCAGATGTGGAACCAAAATTGAAGAGGTACCTCAGGAGTGATGCGAATGTCTTCATGAAAATGAGAAGGTGTAGGCAGACCTCTGGGTTCCAATATATCAGATGGCATTGTTGCAGCTGACAACAAAATCTAAAGAATGAGACTTTTTTATCTTTCTAGTTTTACCACCTCCAGAAACAAACACAAGGGCCCCAAGACAAAAGAAAGATCAATGTAATAAAATTCCATGGATAAAACAGGAGCTTTCTAGTACAAAAATAGTTCGACTAGAAGAAAAGATTCTCAACGAAACAAATTATAAAGACACAAAAATTCGGTACAATTCAACTACAATTTGCCTAAATTCAGATCTTTTAATTCAAGCAGAGAATAACCAACTCCTACCAAATTCAAAAAGTTGGGCACAGAGATAGATAATCAATAACAAAAACCCTAATCAACAATTAACCTTAAAAAAAAACTTACCAAAATATAAACAAGAGAATTGTGCTTCTTCTCTTCGTAATTGGTCCCAAAGCAAATCGAAGCAGCTAAAATTACTGAAACGGATCTCGTAAACCTTCTTCTTCTCTAAGCTTCACGTAACAAAGGGAGCAGAGAGAGATGTAGACAGACAGAAAGAGAGAGAGTTCTTCTTCTTCTTCTCTTTTTATCTTGGCTTTCCTTTTTGTCTTCTTTCTATCCAATCATCATCATAACCAGCAGAGAGAAATATATATATATATAAAAAAAAAGTGAATCGGTGCTTCAATTTCAAATTCTCCTTTCCTATGACGGACACGTCGTGAATTTTCAACGAGCAAGTAAACTAAAACCGTAATTAGGATAATTCCGGTGATACTCCGATATGATTCCGGCACTCCCTCCAAGAGAGAGAGAAACGGAGAAGAAAAGAGTTTGGTTTTTTTCGGTTAGTTGGATTACGTAGAAAAAAAAAAAATGAATGGTAGAAACAAGACAAAACAACAACAATGAGAAAGAGAAGATTTTGCTACGCTGTTTCTGCCATGGATCTAGCGTTACGGTGTGAGCTTTTATCTCCACCGTCAGATTAGGATTACGATTTTCTTTTTTTTTTTCTTTTTTTCTTTAATGGATATATATATATATATATATTTATTTACGGACTTGCGACGGCAGTCGTTGGATCTCGGCTGCTCCTCGATCGGCGAATTATGTTTTTCTCTTTTGTTGATAATACAGAAGTTATAAATAGATAACTATCAATTATCTAAACTTTTAATTTAATAAAAATATTAAATAGGATTCCATGCCAAATGTTTTCAAGATACAAATTTAGCGTGAGTACAGATGTTAAAACCCCATAAAAAGTTTTTGCGTGACAAAAAGGAAACGATAAAAACGCATTAACAACGAATAAAATGGATATACATTAATTCAAGATAACGTTTTACTTGGTTGTTTTAAAAATATCTTTTTAACTACTTTCCTTTTTTTGCTTGTTACAGTCTTCACGTTCTTTCTCATTCTTCTTTTCTCACGTAAGATACAACGAATCAGATAATATATATTATCTTTAGATAAATATATTTAGTGGATATACTTGATGAATCCTCTTTACTCTTTAGGTATATATATTCTGGTTTAAGATAAAACCTCAAACCACAAAAAGAAAAAAAAAGCTATAAAAAATCAGAGTTTTATTTGAGATAAATATAATGATTAATCTCCTAATTAGACATTGCGTAACATAGTTTAACGAGATATTTATTTTACTTAATTTACAAAACATTTGTGATTAGTCAATTCATTAAGCCGAGCCAAGCCATATTAGCAATAATAAGCCAAGTTTTGAGTTAGCTTAGCTGAAAGAGAGAGAGAAAGCGAAGTTGTTGTTCTTGTCCGAAAATTTTTAATGGCTAGACGCGGCGTGAAGGATTAGACAAGGAATTTTTATTTTTTTTCTTTAACAAGAAAAGCATTTTTACTGTTTTAATAAGCAAAACAAGAAAAGCATTTATTCTTAAGACGCTCCTCCACGTGTCAGTTTTCTATGGTTGACGTCAACAAAACAAAAATCCTACGTCTACTTCGATTCTCTACTCTCCGATCTCTATGCACCCTTCATTCACGAGCCGTTGGATTCGACGAATCTCTCTTTATGGTGAACTCTCGAAGACAAACAAATGGTAGTGTATTGAAAGTTTGAAACTAACATCAGGTCTAATCTAACCTAACCTGACCGGTTCTTAACCAATAACCGGGTATATACAAAACCGGTTCCAATTGTAGCATCGATCAAGCTATCATCAACCAACATTAGCAGGTAATCTTATTGTTTATTAATGATACTTAGGCTGTCATCTAAAGTTACTTCAAATGTAAACTACCGAATCTACGATATTAATGTTTGTCCTTGTTTTATAATCTATTTTCAAACGATTTCTTTTCATAATTGTATAAGTATATATAACTTATGCTAAAATATTTGTTATCTTAAATTGTTTTTGAAAACTATGAATCTGGATTGAATATTGACACTAGTCTACTCTATATTAAATACATGCATAGATACAAGTACACATAAACTTTTAAACTTGGGTGTCAGTAGATGACACCTAATATATACTTTTTGAAATGGATAACTATCTACAATTTCAACAAGTTTATTCTAATTTATCAAAATATTCGAACTCGTGTCTAGTCTTGTGTACTAGAGTTTCTTGCAAACATAAGTAGCAATGTGTACTATATCCTTCCATTGATCACATGCAAAATTTACCCAAAATTATTTATTGCTGTTGTATTTTTCTACACAAATAAGCTTAGAAACAAAAGTTCGCTTGCACGCCTTTAGGTACATGTAGGATAAGTTGAAGAGTATAATACGAGTCGTATGACACACCAAACACGACTATATATCAATATATCATACGCTTATAATACGACGACGAACTTAGTTATAGAGATAATGATTAAAAAATTTCCTTTAATTAATTGACATAGCATATCCTTGGGAGGCCGAGGTTGGACAGAAGAGCAAAGCAAGAGACAATCAATTTGCAAATATAACCCAAGCAAAAATATTTAGAACAAAAATAAAACTAATTGAAGATATCATTGAATAATTAATATAGTAATCATTAAAATAATATTTACAATAATGCATTAATTATTGACGTATTCACATGGTCCATGCGGTCTCTTGTACAGGTCGTCGTTGTCTCTATAGATTTTCGTCGGTCTACTGACTCTACTTATACGCTAATCCCATTACGCCTGTATATTCAACAAATACATGTTGTTTAGCCAACACATACTTTGTTTAAAACTATAAACAAAAAAATCAATTTAATATATCTCTTTTGCAACATTGCAAGTGAAGTAGCTTCATAAAAAGAAACACTGTAAGTAATTATTATTTTTCCAAAACATTCCAAGTAATTATTAAACTAATACTAATACATATAATTATGATGACGTTTAGCCATGGGCTTGGTTCATAGACCCGTGTTATCTCACATTAAATAGGCCTGGCCCGTATAATACATAAACCCACTAGTTATTTGATTGATATTAATATTACTGATGAGGCATAAATAACATATTGAGATATTTTGGTTAGTGCAATAAATGCTTACTTAATCCGTGAAAGATAGACTACCTAAATTGTTTGGACAAAGTCTACGACTCTATGTTGCACCGAGACTTCATGTTTGTAGCTTTTTGATAAACGCTTTGTTCTATTATGAGTTTGTAGTTAATTAGAGAAAACAAACCTTTTTACCAATTTTAAAAGACAATAAAGTTACATATATAAAAATTATGTAGTTATCATTTCGTTTATAATTGTATTTGTATGAACACGTTTGTCGACAGAATAAAAGAGCAAGTTGTAGAAATTTTGTATATAGTCAATAACTAAAGAATAAAAGAAGTGGGAGTGAGTGACTGTAAAATATAAAGCCAGAAGTTTGGACTAAAGATTTTCAATAATTTACTGACCATACATACTGTGTTTCGTGATTTTGACTTGACATCAAACAGCTACATTCCAACTCTCATTTTATTTTATTTTGTCAATTTTCTCTTACAATTTGTTTTTCTTTATCTCTCATAAATGTGGTTTTGAAGGCAAAAGAGTATTTCTGTCAATTTAATGAGTGTTTTGTTAGCAAGGAATGTACATTTGGTTAGGATTAAAAAAAGTTTTGTTTTCTGAGCCTCTGAGGTATTCAAAGATTTTTTTTATCGAATTTTTTAGTTTTTTGGTATTAGAAAACAGTAACAATGAAATTGTCAAATTTTTCCACAGCTCAGATCAGGTATTAAAGTTTTTTGTTTGGTTTATAAAGTTTTCTCTTTGGTTTGGTTTGGTAAAAATATCTATTTATTTCACAATCAATAATTCAAAGTGATTATTTGGAAATTGGAAAACCTATTTTTCTTTGTTCGACATTTAGAAGAAACTTAGGAACAGAGAGTTACATTGATATAACAAATACAAACCCTACAACTCCATTGTTTGGTTAGCACTAACAGGTTACTTAAACAACAAGAAACAACAACAACATATAAGGTTATACAGCTCATATTTCCTTAAGGGCCTTCAACACATCAAGCATGTTTGGGCGATTAGCTGGCGTTTCAGCAAGGCAGACCATAGCAATCTGAAGCAGACGAAGCAGAGAGTTCTTCAAGGCCACAGATACAAGCAGTGGGTCAAGAACATCCACCGCTTTCCCTTGGTTAATCTTCCGAGTCACCCAACCAACCAAGTTTCCTCCTTCACTCTCTTTGAAGTCTGGACCGGTCGGCTCTTTCCCTGTGATTAGTTCCAAGAGAATCACTCCAAAGCTGTAGACATCCCCCTTGGTTGTGGCTCTTGCGCTCTGACCATACTCCGGTGGGATATACCCGAAAGTCCCTGCTATGACTGTACTAACATGGGATTCACAGGCACTAATTAGTCTTGCTAGCCCGAAATCCGCCACCTTAGGCTCAAAATCACCATCTAACAGAATGTTGCTGGCTTTGATGTCCCTATGTATAATGTGAGGGATGAAACCGTGATGTAGGAAAGCTAGACCTCTTGCAGCTCCAACTGCGATTTTGAGCCGTTTTGACCAGTCCAGAACCTCTAGCATCCCAGTTTGGTTCCTTAACCAGTGATCTAAGCTTCCATTAACCATATACTCATATACCAGAAGCTTCTCTTCACTGAAAGAACAATATCCAAGCAAAGACACAAGATTCGGATGCTTCACTTTCCCTAGAGTCTCCATCTCTGCCATGAATTCCCGGTTTCCCTGAGTTTTGGCTTCACTTAGCTTCTTCACCGCTACTGTTTTCCCACCTGGTAAACAAGCTTTGTAAACCGTCCCAAAACCACCGTCTCCTATAATGTTCTTCTTAGAGAAATGATCTGTAGCCTCGACAATATCTCCTAAACGCACCTTCAAAAGCGGCTGCTCGAACATTGCTATATTGATGCTTAATGGCTCTCTTGATCTGCTTCCACTTAAGAAATACAGGTTCTGATCAACAAACCCTTTTAACCTGCTTTCCTCCATTCGCTCTGGATCATCTCTTTGCTTCACTCTCTTTGTCATAACCCATCTTCGCAGAGAGAATACAAACACAAAGACGATGATAGTAAAGCCAAGCATGAGTCCTGCAATCCCCCAAGCACTCCTCAACTTAGTTCCATCGATCTTGCAATCTGATCCAATGACTCTGCCACACAACTCTTTGTTCCCTGAAAGCAATGCCTTGGAAGGATCCTGGCAAACACCATCACTCGGCACCTCTCCTCGCAGATTGTTCTTGGCTAGATTCAAGGACTCCAGATTGGGCAATCCACAGATCTTTGTTGGTATCTCTCCAGATAGCAAGTTCCCAGAAACATCAAGGTACTCCAGCTGTGTCAGATTACCAAGTTCTGAAGGTATTTCTCCGGTGAACTTATTCTGCTCAATGTAGAGGCCTACAAGTTTGACCATTGTAGACAGTTCTGATGAAAGCTCGCCACTTAGGTTGTTAAAGCTCAAGTCCATGTGTGTAAGCTCTTTCAAGTTCCCAAGAGAAGCAGGAACCGATCCATCCAGCTTGTTCTTGGTCAAGTTTAGCTTCACCAAGCTATCTAACAGGCCAAAGCTTTCTGGTATGTGGCCATTGAGCTGATTATTCGCCAAGTTTAATCCCTGCAACTTAAGAGAGTGGCCCATCTCCTTTGGAATAGATCCAGTAAGTGCATTTCCAGATAGATCCAGGATTGTGAGGTTGGTCAAACGAGAGAGTGAAGCTGGAATCTCTCCAGAGAGATGGTTGTTGCTCAGTAAAATCTCCACCAATACCACACAGTCGCCAAGTTCTTCTGGTATAGAGCCAGACAATCTATTGTAGGAGAGATCAAATATCCCATGGTGCTGAAGAAAGCTCAGATCAGGCATGTCAATCTGATGGAAATAAGCAGAGGGTTTTGATGGAATTGACCCTGAGAGATTGTTGTAAGAGAGAACCAGGCATTGAAGCTGAGCAAGAGCAGTGATTCTGTCTGGAATCTGTCCTTGAAGATTGTTGTTGCCAAGATCCAATGTAGTCAAAGAAGTACAGTCCCCGAGCTCCTTTGGTATCTTCCCTTGAAGCTTGTTTGAATTCAGATTCAAGACAGACAAAGATGTGAGTTTTCCAATCTCTCTTGGGATTTCACCTTTTAACTGATTATCACTGAGAACCAGCCGCGTCAGTGAAGCTGCATTACCAATCTCTGCAGGCAAATAACCTTCCAGACGATTATAAGAAGCTGAGAACTCCATCAAATTCGTTGATTTCCAAAGACTCCTTGGGATTTCTCCTGTGAAGTTGTTGGAATCCAAGTCAACTGCCATCAATGGAAGCTTTGAAAGATCCTCAGGAATAGAGCCATTGATCTGATTATTGGTAAGAACCAACTCTACAAGAGACGAACATCCATTGAACACCTCCTCAATTGTTCCCGAAAGCAAATTCCCAGAGAGATCAATCTCCTCCAACGAACCTGAACCACAAAGCTCCCTAGGAATCGAACCAGTTAACAAGTTGCTAGCTAGACTGAGATGCTTCAACATTGGACAATCCTCAATCTCACGAGGGATTTCACCTGAAAACCGATTGTTAGCTAACAGAAGTGAGTCCAGTACCTTCCATTTGCCGATCCATGAAGGCAATGAACCCGAAAGCTGATTCCTTTCAGCAGAAAACGTCAACAGAGGAATCTCTGAAAGCTCCAAAGGCAAAGAACCAGAGAGAGAATTGAAAGAAAGCATCAGTGTCTTGAGGCTTTTACACTTACCAAGCTCTGGTGGGATCAATCCAATGAGCTCTGCGGAGACAAGATTAAGTATACTCAGATTCTGCAACTCCCCAAACGATGTTGGTATTGAACACTTGAGTGGGTTGTAAGAAAGGTCGAGCTTTGCTAAGTGTTTCAGCTTCGAAATCTCCTTTGGTAACGGTCCTTTGAAGAAGCAAGAAGGTGCACCAAAGTTCTTCAGCAACGAGATGTTACCAATCTCCGGCGGGATTGTACCGGAAAATGAGTTGAGTCCCATGTAAAGGTCGGAGAGGTTACTCAATTTCCCGATTTCTGGAGGGATTTCGCCTGAGAGTGAGTTGTTGGAGACGTCGAGTGACGACAGTGCAGGGAAGCTGAGGAAGAACAACGGAGGAACTGAACCTGAGAAGTGGTTGTCACTTAGGTCAAGGTAGAGAAGCTGAGGTAACTCACTGAGTTGACTCGGGAGAAGTCCGGTGAGTGAGTTTCCAGAGAGGTCTAGGGTTTGAAGCTGTTTTAGTTTCCAAATCTCAGACGGAATCTTCCCGGAGAAGTGATTTCCGGCTAGACGAAGCTCTTTCAGATTCTTCAAACTTGAAATCTCCTTCGGAATCTGGCCGGAGAGTGAGTTTTCCGACAGGTCTAGGACGGAGAGAGAGCGGAGGGTGAAGAGAGATGGAGAGAGATTGCCTTTGAGAGACAGAGACTGTAAGGAGAGCGAGTAGACTCGTCCGAGCAGACACGTAACGCCGAACCAATCGCAGTGAGACGACGAGGGAGACGAAACGTTCCATGAAGAAAGGCGAGATGGGGTTTCGAGTGAGCGCTTGAAGGAGATCAGAGAACTCGTTTCTGAGGTAAGATCAACAATGGCTGTGTCTGAAATAGAGAAGAAGAGAAACCACAGAAATACGGCGGTTAGAAACTCCATGGTTTGAGAAGGAAGAAAAATTAGCTCGGGATTTTAAAAGAGACTCTTTTAGAGAGAGAGACTCGATTTTTTTACAAGAGGAGAAGATAAATCACGCCATTAAAGAGAAAAAGAAGGTTTTTTTTAGGCGCGATAAAGATGAAGAAGAAGAAGAAGAAGAAAAGAAGAGAGAGAGAGAAGCACGAAACTCACGTGACGTAATAAGACCATTGTTTTTAAAGTTCGTAACGGCAATTTAATTTTTATTTCAGTAATTGTTATTTTCAATCTTTGTTTTGTTTGCGTGAAAAAATCAGAAATATTGTCCAAAAAAAAAAAGAGATGATGAGTTAAAGATGAAGGCATGGGTCAGACTTGAGAGAGTACGGCTCGAATCTGCAGAAATCCCAACCACTGTGTACCAGATTAAAGCTGACGGGGTTTGTTCTATAAATAATCGAAAGTTGTGTGGTTACATTGTAAATCTGAAACTTTGTTTTGGCTTCTTTATAAAAAGCTGGTCAATTAATTGTATTTCAATTAATGTGATATCCGAAGAGGCTTCAATTAAACCAATTATTGTATATAGATACAGCTAATAATTTTAGGGTTCTTTCTATGTTTGGGTATTGTTGCATTTACTTAATAGTAATAAATGTTGGTTTTATGATTATTAGCTAACCAAATTGTTTTATTTATTCCTTGTTTACATTGATCTTAAAAGGTAACTTGGTTGTCTCCATTGCAAAACAGAACAAAATTGGACAGTCAACAATCTTACACACAAATTATGCATGTTTCTAAAATATTCAAGTAATTTTTTTTTTCGTATTTTAAAGATAAATAACAATGAAAAGGGTTTAAAATTAAGAAAGTAGAAAATGTGGTCCATTGTCGTTGTTCTAAAAAATGGTCTAGACGGTTGCCTAGGCTTCGTCTAGGTGCTAGACGCTCAGGTGACGCTTAGATTATCGCTTCAGCCGACTAAAAAAAAGTCGCATAAGTTTTGTTTCACTGTATTTTCTAATTTTCATATACATAAATTTAAATTACGTAATATCCAGTGATGGAGAGATGAAATTTGAGAGACAGAGACGGTAGAGAGAGCGAGTAGACTCGTCCGAACAAACACGTTACGCCGATCCAATCGCAGTGAGACGACGAGGAAGACGAAACGTTTCATGTAGAAAAGAGAGATGGGTTTTCGAGTGAGTGCTTAAAGGAGACTAGAGAACTCGTCTCTGAGCTTAGATCAACAATAGCGGTATCTGAAACAAAGAAGAAGAGAAACCACATGAACAAGGCGGGAAGAATCGCCATATTGTTTTAGAGAATGAACGAAAATTAACCTGAGATATTAAAAGACTCTTTTTCCAGTGGCAATTATAAGTATATCTTATATTTTCAAAAACATCACAATTAATTAAAAGGATTACTAAATTATTTTTGATTACAACTATTATAATTATATTAGAAAGAAAAAAAACTATATTGACAAAAAAAATCAAGTAAAATTAAGCAAAACATAAGCAAAAATTTAGTTTTTAAAGATAGAAAATATGAAAGGGGAGAAGAAATAGCAGAGTTCTCACATGTATTCTTTCCCTTTTGGGAATGTTTAAAGCTTTTTCCCTTTGGGATCTGTTTCCATTTTTCTAATCACATAAAGACTTTACCTGATTAGATTACTAAAACCTCAAATTTATGGTATGTTTTGAACAAAAACAATACTTTGATATTTCAAATCTTCAAAACAATAACTTTTTTGGACCATCAACCTCAAAACAAAATTTTAATTTTCTTGTACAAATTAAGAGAACATGGTTGATTATAAGGTCAATGGACCATAAATTATAGATCATGACAAAATAATAAGTTAATGAAGAATTTAATATGGAAATGTAATTGAAATTTAAACTCAGACAGACGAGTTGTGCAAATGAAGATTTCGAAGTAGCAAAGCCAAAAATGGAATGCTTTTTGAAATTGGCGCATCACTGAAACCAAACCAGTTTGAGTCCAATTAATTGAGTGATAGTTTCATTTGTTTCTTTCTTCTTCTTTTTTCTTTTCTTTTTGATCCAAGATATAATTAAGTAATAGTAGTATTAAGTTATTTGCAGAGGAAGAAAATGACTTGGACTTGTGTGGTCAGATTTTTCTCAAAAAATTATTAATGTTTGTAGTTATTATTACTATTACTTTTAGTTTTGTTTGACTTCTTCTTGGGTTGAAAATTAAAAGAAAGTCTCAATATTTCATAATATACTATAATACTACAACAAACAGATAGATGGGTCAACTTACCAAAAAAAAAAACAGATAGATGGGTCCAATAATAAAAATACAAAGAGTTTGCAAAATGACCCCATCATTATGGTGATAATTACAAATCTTCCACCATAATTAATAACTTTAGCCTCTCCAAAGTCAAAACAAACCTAAGAAGAAGACTCTGTGTTGTGGCTCATCCCATTTTAAAAGTAAGAAATGATGGGAGACATAGATTCTCTCTCTTTCTCTGTACATAGAAATAATGTTTGTGATCAAGCATTGATCTCGGAGTTGCATTGGTTCTCTCTGCTACAGCTTCTTCTTCCCCAGAACATACTTGAGCAAGTTGTTGTCTTCCCAAGTCTTTGCCCTTCTTCTATCTTCTCCTGTTCAGTTGTTGTTCGAGAAGGAGAAGATTCGTCATGTTCTTCACTATGTCTCTCTGTTCCATGTGTCTCAAAGTTTGGACATGTCCCTTCGTTGCAGGTGCACATTGGAATGTTGACTGAAGGGAATGGGCTACATGTTACAGGACATAACATATCAGATGAAACCGAGGCTGCCCGGGTCTTGCTGCTACGTTGTTCTGTTGGTGGGCATGTCGGTGATGATTGATCTGTTGTGTCTCCCGTGTGAAGCATACATGGCGCACAGAAACCAAGTGACATAGGTAACTTCATTTCTCTGGTCAGGGAGCTCGGGAGTCGTTTAAACGCCACAATTCCATGTCTGCAAAGAGGGCAAGGAATTGATCCGGGCGGGCCAATTGTCAACGAGGGAACATTGCTCGAAGAGCAAAGGTATAACGCACATCTGACACATAGCTGATGCTCACAACCTGAAACACAAAACCCACAACTTTTAAAGGACATTCATAAACATCTCTAAAAGGGTATGGCAACAATTTAGACCGAACCTTCAGCAGCAACAGTGCACGTTCTTTCCAGGCAAACCGCACAGATATCGACCTCATCTCCGATGGTTGCAGACTGCAACCCAAACTCTCTGCAAGCAAATAGTCAACAAGAAGAGAAATCACCTGAGTCATATTGATGCCACAGTTTGGTCCTATAAACTCAGATGGAGATTTCTTCATTACCTTGCGATGTTGAGTATACTCAAAAGGGGCAATGATAAGTAGTTGGAATGAGGAAAAGCTGGAATGACAACATCCGAATTTGGCGAAAGCAACGGTTCTAACCAATGACGACTCCACATCCGTGCTATGTCAATAGGTAGCCACCTACATACATTTTTTTGGAAGGAAAGTTTCCATTCTAACAACGTCAAATATTTCCCTGAAACTGGTTTTGAACATGAAACAAAACATAACAAGATTGTGATGGAATAACTTACCCGTTGCAGTTCAATGTCATTTTTCTTGCACCTCTTGCAAGAAGAATCTATGGAGAAACACATAAAATGGAGATTCTCACAACTCTGTCTCCAAACTACCAAAACAAAAGGAATAAACTTAGTAGTATTGTTCTTACCTGACAACACTTCAAATTACCACCACAAGCGGCGTAGTGCAAAGGCGTGCTTCCGGCTCCTGAAACGGTAATTAAGACCAAGATTGTCATCTTGGGAGAATTATAAATTAATCTTTTAGTGAAAAAAAAACAAAAATGGCGGATAGAGAGCTGAGACCAATCATATCCATTGATGTTCCATAATGAAATGTCACAGCGGAAACATTGGCCTCAAGATCAAGCAAAAGCTGCACACAATCAAATAATCCATTCAAGGCAGCCATGTGAAGAGCTGTGATTCCACCGTCAGCCGCCTTATTCACAAATTTAGACAATGCACTGCACCATAAGACAAAAATTTATGTTGCATCTACATAATCAAATCAAACCCTTACAAACATAAAAGGTTTACAAACAAAAAACCTTTGCTCAGATTTGTTCTTTGCAGTGACCACACCAGTCTCAGGAAGAGAGTTAAGTTTATCACTAGGTACAAAATCTGCCAAGACAAGTCTAATACATCTGGCGTGACCATTCACAGCAGCGAAATGAAGCGCTGTTCTTCCAGCTAAATAATCAGCTCTTGTAACCTTGACAAAGAAAGACGATACTAAGAATTCAAAATCTGAATCAAACGGCATAGTTTTCTTTCAACTAGTGATAAAAACAACTCACATTGCATCGGAAAAGCAGAAGCGTTTGCACAACTTCCCAATGTCCGTATCTACAAGCTTGCATCAATGCCGTCTAAGTCCAAATTTAAACAAAATCAAATTTTTAGCCAATTAGCTCCAACTTGGCCAAAGGTTTCACATTTCACTATTGATACAAATCCCTAAATCAAATGAAGATACGTATAATCGAAAGAATCGAACTTGAATTTCTGAATCAGCTCAGAATTAGCTCAACAGTTTCAAATCCCAAAATCTAGTTGAGAAAAAGCTGAATCTCGAATACCTGACCACAATAATTTCTGGAATTCACATCAGCTCCGTTCTCGAGCAACAATCCAACGATCTAACATCACAAATGGGTAAAAGAGAAAACTTTATATTAAAAATTCGAAAACAGTAAAGATATGAGCAATGAAGAACTCAAAGAAACCTCGTTATGGCCTTTAGCAGCTGCGAAATGCAACGGAGAATTAAGACCACCGAAAGTAGAATACTTGGCAAGACAAGGATTGCAATCGAGAAGCATCTTCGCCTCCACGAAATCTCCATCTCTCGCCGCCGACACCAATCTCTCGCCGGAGGCAGAACACCCAAATGAATTCCCCATTTCTCTCTCTCTCTCTATCTATCTATCTATCAATCTATCTTCTTCTTCAGATGAGAATACTCTCTCTTCTCTCTTTCTTGACCTCAAAATCCAATTGGATGGTGACAAAAATTAGGTCAACCGTCGTGGAAAGATATACAGAGAAGGAAGAAAGAATCTGGGATTAGATATGATACTGAAACAGCACGCGAACTCTCTTTTCTCTCTCTCTCTAATTTGGTCCGTGTGAGACAAAAAGAAAGACAAGAGGAAGATGCAGGCGAAACATAAACTCGAAATTACTATTTTGCCCCTAAATCTAGTTCGTCTTACCCTTTTGCTTCGTCGACTTTCCACTTTCACTTGTCCCCACTCGTCCACGTGGCGTTTTGTTATTCATCTTCGAGTTTGCTTCTTCATATATTTTTTTTTATTAGAAAACATAAGGTTGCTTGTTCTTCTTAAACATATAATTAAGAAGAAATATGAAGCCAAATCTGGTGTTTAATATGAAAACTGTTATATGATTTAATCTACTATGGAAATATATCATAATCTTAGATAAAACCATAATCACCGACGATAATAGGATAATAAAGTTCATAGAAATAAAGTTACAATTCCAAACTCTCAAACAAGAACAACAACAACAACGACGACGACACCAACAACAAGAACGGTAAAACTTCATAAGCCATAAAACTTCAACGGCGGATTGGGAGGGCATTTTGGACATTTCCTAGAATGTTAGTGACCATGTCCTCAACATAACTCACCAGCTCATTTGGACTTGTGACCATAGCTTGGTCAGCCTTAACATGACATCCAGCCGAAACGAAACATTCTTGTGATCCGTGTGGCATTATGGTGAATCCACACGGTAAATGTTCGATGCCAGACAAATCTCCATCGTTTATTACAGCTGCAAAATATGGCGCTTCTAAGCAAGCATGGATTATCATTGCTCCTGATTCATCGTAGTATGTTTCTTGAATCAAATACCACTCCTTAGAACCATTCCACTGCAATAAAATTAGTTAACCGCTGTTTATAAATCCAATGCTCAATGTTATAAATAAACCAAATGAATTTTTTTACGTACCTCAATGCTGAAAACAGAGACTTCATTCCATGTGTTAGGATATCTTCCGATACGAATGAGTTCTTTCATATCTCTAGCAGACTCTAAATAATCCCATATCTCTTGTTTTTCTGCACGTTTGATTAATCCAAATATTACCTCCGGCCTAGCTTGCATTCTAGCTAAACCCGTAGCGCTAACCAAAACGCAAGGCATCCCACTCATGTCTCGACTTTCTCGCGTGAACATTCTGATGTTATTGACCGAACCTCCAACTGTATTGAAGCGATTCCAACTCTGTCCGGTTATCCCACAAACTCCAGTACAAAATGCGTTAACCATAAATGAAGATAGGTTAAGCAAGTTGGTATGACAGATCGGGTCGAATACTACACAAGTACAAATGTTATAAACATGGTTAGTGCATGTAAAACCAAACCAAAATTGATAAATAGAAAAAAAAACTTGAATTTCCACTACTTTGAATATGGTGACCGAAAGAAGGAATCGAAATAGAGCCATTGTTGTAGCAATGCCTTTGGAGAGCAGCGAGCCATCTATGTGCCCCAAATTCTGAATCTGAATTGAAAATGTTTATGACTTCTTCTTCCTTATAAACCCAATGGTCAAGAATGGTTACCTATAAATAATAATTGAGTCAGAACAAAGCTATACATACCCCTATATATTTAAACTCGTTTTGAAATTGAAATATACCTTGGAGATACCATCGGCTATATGTTGGATAAGATATCCAGAAGGAAATCTCATAAACTCGGGGCGTGAATGTTGAGCATATGAGCCAAAATACACAGACATATCGGCGATAACCCATGCATCATTCTCTATATGCCTCGAGCGTCGAATAAGTTTCACATTTCGAGTTGGAATTAAAGGGGAGATTTGTGGCATAAAATCCACATTAATCTACAATTATAAAGACACAAAATTATCACTAGTTATAAATTCATGAGAAAAAAAAGAATATTTGGTACCATTTGCAATCCTCGTTGTTGTGATTCCATAGACACATCTGCGATGATTGACGGGAAGATTTTTTTCCAAGTGACCTAAATAAACAAACGATATAAGAAGAAAAAAAAAGGAAAACTGTATATTATTATATATGATTTCATGTACTTTATTGTCACACTTACATGATTCATAAGATTTGCCACAAGCGATGAAGCATCACATTGGACAAACGCAGAAGCTCTTGATGCCTCATGTACAAACCCAGGTGCGTTTCTCGCATACCAAGGAAAGTATTTAGAGTAGTATTCGTCGAGATTCAGTCTCCCGTTGCTTGTCCACATCGGAGTTCTTTGCCTCGCAAGAGAAACAACTTCTTTGAGTGAAAGTGACATCATAACCGCCACTGCGTAAGGCCAATCAGTCAAAGATGTAACAGCTGCGGGATAGAGGCTCCTGAACAAATTTAATCTCCATATGAAACAAGTCAATGTATAAATCTCTGAACGGAGACGAGCATTCTCCAACCACAGCTCCCTCTCTTCGGTTGAAATGATGCGCCCATCGCAAGATCTACACATCGATGGAGAGGTCAGAGCATGAATCATAGCTCTGTTTTCTGCTCTCAGCAACTCGTTTTGTTGGTGTAGAAAAATCCTCCTTTGATGATAATGATACATATTTCACCTTTGAATTTATTATAGTCAAAGAAAAACAAAAACAAAATAGTTAAACAACCATTTTTCCTTTTTTTTTCTCATAACCAAGTTAAATCCTTTTCTGAAACCCAACGTAATTTGGAAATATGTTAAAATATAGCCATTTGAAGCATTTCTCATACTCCAAATATAAGTACAAGATGAAATTTGATATTCGATTTCGCCTAATATGGTGAATACCTAGTCAGTATATCACAATAGTTGATTAAAATTTTTGTAGCAATCATAAAACCAAAATTGAAAAGATTTGAAACTTAAGAAGAAGATTTAAGAGACTATATCTACCTTGATGACTTCGCAAAACTCCTCAAACGATGACTCTGTAGATCTGAAATTTCTGCTAGTTATGACTTATGAGTGAGTGAGTGTTCTCTAAAACCACTAACTATATATAAACAACAAAAATAATATATAATAATCATAAACGGTTATAAAACTATTTAAAAATAATTTAATTATTTACGTATAAGGTAATAAACGAAACGCTCACGAGATTCATATTTTTTTGACTAAAATGAGACAAATGTTCATCATTATTTATGATAATTCAATGTGGATTCTCTACCAATTAATTTTTTTCTTCTTTTGTACCTAATGACTATTTTATTCTTATATATATATAAAGCGTTACGTTATTAATTGTTCTTCTAAATAATACTTAATAGATTAGGACATATATATAGTATGGTTGGAAGTAAATTTGCAACAATCTATCTCGGTATGGCATGTGGATATGAAACCAAGACAAATTAAATCAAATAAGTATTCTCAAAGTTCCCGGAAGAAGCCATCTCTTCCGGCCCTCGTGACCATTACACATCATCAAGAAGATATATTTAGTTCTCATCTACTCTGTGTGACAACATACATGGCCGGCCCAATAGATATTGTTGCCCAAAGCAAAACCAAAGTTCTTTCCCATTTACTTTTAGAAAAAAACAGAAAATGACAGTGTTGAGGTTTGAACAATGCACCAAAGGAACAATTAATACAGCGTCAACCACTGCAATACCAATAATCTTAAAAAATTGATGCCCTTTAAATTTATATATATGTTTTGGCGCCTAAAGCAAGGGCTTTACTAGCTTTAGCCTAGGGCCGGCCCTGACAAGATACGATATAGCATATGGATGTTCTGTATGCATTCAAAGAGTAGTGGCAGCACACCTCTAACTCCTACAACCACTAAAACCAAAAGAACAACCCTTCGAGATTGTCATACGAAAACTGTTATGTGATGATTTTTTAACTGGATTAGATAAGTGTAGAGAGTTCATTTTAGTCATCTCGACTGAAATACTAAGTTTAACTCTGACGTTCGATATACTTCGAGGAGAAGAAGGAGATCCCCTACGACAAATATCAAGATGTGTGTGTCACGCTGGGACCGCATTTTGATCGACCATGTAAATTCATACATTTATTCCATGATAAATCACATATTACTGCTGTGGTTATAATCTTTCTATTTAGAGGGATTTTACCTTTGTCCGATAAATAACGTTTTATATGCCTAAACTAAGATTTCTATGGTCCACACATTACAATGAAAAGTTCTAATTCTCATCTCACATCACACAGACACACAGCTTTAGCGTGAAAAGCAATTTGGGAAATCCAGCGCACGTTAGCTCCGTTATGATACAGTGTGCAATAGACCACGGTACACCCTAACACGTGCCACAAAAAGGTAAGACAACGTATTACACATTTACACGTGTAAATATTTAACTGGTTAATAGATACCCACTTTCTCACCCACTCTCAAATATGGTTTAACTCTTCTTACCGCCTTCAATCAAAAAAAAAAAAAACCGACAAAACAAAAAAAAACAATTAAACAAATTACAGAGGAGAGAGAGATCACTATGGCTGTCGGAGATGATGATCTGGAGAACCGAATGTCAGCGAAGGATCGAGGGATCGGTAGCAGAGGCGGTGATCGGAATCGAATTGGACCACCGCCTTTGCCGGTAGCGTTGCCGTCGTCTACTGAATTTGGCGATAACGCGTTGTCGTCGCGGTGGACGTCGTGGCTTGTTCCGATGTTCGTTGTGGCTAACGTTGTGGTTTTCGTCGTGGCGATGTTCGTCAACAACTGTCCGAAGCATTTCGAGTCTCACCGTCTTAGAGGTCACTGTGTCGCCAGGTTTCTCGGTAGACTCTCGTTTGAGCCTCTCCGAACTAATCCTCTCTTTGGTCCGTCTTCTCACACGTACGTTTCCATAAAAAAATTGCGTTTTTTTTTAATTTGGTATCAATGTTTATTTAGGGTTCTTAAAACTGGTGAATAACGTTTTGGTTCTGTTTCACAATTCTGTCGGTTACTATATCAATTATCATCTGATTTTTTAGGGGTTGGACTAGAAATTTTTGTAGGATTTTGAGATGTAAATGATGGAGTTATGTGATTGAGAGTTTGAGACACAAGATTTTGATATGATTTTGTTTGGTTGATATATACATGAAGTTTGGAGAAGTTAGGAGCACTTGAGTGGAGCAAAGTTGTGGAGAAGAAGGAAGGTTGGCGTCTCTTGACATGTATATGGTTGCACGCCGGTGTTATTCATCTCGGAGCCAATATGCTAAGCCTCATTTTCATCGGTATTCGCCTCGAGCAGCAGTTTGGTTTTGGTATGCATTCCCTGACTAGCCTGAGCAGCATTAGTCTTCAATTCTTCAAGTTCTGTTATTCTATTGCTGGAAATCTGAATTTTGGTTCTTGAAATTTTCAGTTAGAATCGGAGTTATATACTTACTATCAGGAATTGGAGGGAGCATATTGTCGTCGTTGTTTATCAGAAACAGTATCTCTGTTGGAGCTTCTGGTGCTCTTTTTGGTCTCCTTGGCTCAATGCTTTCTGAACTTTTCACTAACTGGACAATCTACTCTAACAAGGTTAACACCAATCTGCTTTTCATTTCAAAGATTCAAATCATTCAATCATGTTGGCTCATGTTCATGCTTAGCTGTTTCTGATCTGAACTTATGTACCAGATTGCAGCACTCCTGACGCTTTTGTTTGTCATCTTGATAAACCTGGCGATCGGGATTCTGCCTCACGTTGATAACTTTGCTCATGTGGGTGGATTTGTAACGGGGTTTCTCCTTGGTTTCATTCTGTTGGCTCGTCCCCAGTTCAAGTGGTTAGCAAGAGTGCATATGCCACAAGGCACACCTCTGAGATACAAGTACAAGCCTTACCAATACCTATTGTGGCTCTTATCTCTGGTTCTATTGATTGCCGGGTAAAATTTTTAGCATTCCTTAAAATTACTCTGTCATTTCAATATAAACCCCAATGTGAGACATTAAGTGAATGTTGGGCAGATTCGTGGTGGCGTTGTTGATGCTATTTCGAGGAGAAAACGGCAATGATCACTGCCGCTGGTGTCGCTACCTGCGCTGTGTACCCACCTCAAGTTGGAGGTGTGATGATATCTGATAAGTAAAGCAACATGTTTTACTTTGTAAATGCATATGTATATAGGTTTATCAAGTCATTTTATAGTGTTTCAGTGTAATTGTGTGATTGCTTATGTGTGCGACTCTTATTGAGCTTTTTTACCTAAAAGAAAAAGAGGAAGATATTAGTTTAATATGAAAGGTTATATCAATCAATCTCATTGCTTTAAGTGGTGATTCCCACGTCTTGACTTGACATCACTTCAAATTATTGAAGGTTTTTTATCAGACAAGTGTGGACCCTATAGCTTGTTGGATACAGTCAATAGAAAACATAGATTGATCACTGTCTGTCTCTGTACTCGTGTGTCGAAATCTAATTTTACACATTCCACTCACTTTTTTCATCCTTTCGACTATTGAAAGAAAAGAGGATTAGAACTGAAAAACGAAGTATAAATCTTCGATTTCTCACTTTGGTTTCGATCTAATCCATCAGAAACTCCTCTGTAACCCGCGATCCCACTATCCGAACGCTGATCAAAAGATCGTTCTGCAGCCGGTGTGTAGTAGTAATACTGTCCCTGTATAGACCTCTTGTAACCACTCTCTGAAGATAAATCTTGTAGCCTCTGTCTTGGTGCGCTTTGTGACCGGACTTTTGCTCTGTAAGACTCAGTGTTAGCCATGTAGTTAGGGTGATACCCGGAGTAGTACTCGTACTCGCTTCTCGTAGGCGTGAAGGGAGTTTTTCTCCTTGAACCACCACTGCTGCTTCCTGTTCTAGACCTTAATTGTGGACTGTTCTCCACACTTGTCGGAACCATAAGAGATCCTCTTTTCCTTGGTGACTCTCTCAAGTGAGGCTTCCAAGTGTCGACTTCTAGGATCTTGTCATTATCTTCATTGTACTGTGGTGCGTTCCATAGACTTTCCTCTGTCCTCCATTGGTCTAATAACCGGCTAGAACCCATCGGTGAACGGTGGTTGTTGTGGTGGTGGTCCATGGCAATGACTTTGCTGTACTCAGCCTCTGAAACGCATCGTGCATGGAAAGATTGTGGGGAAGATGGAATCATTAGTGTTGGCGAGTGGGAAGAGTCAGAAACGTGAGAAGAACGCGACGCTCGAGCTCGTGCTTGGAGCCGAACCAGCGTTTGCATTCGACGCAGCATATCAGCTGTTTGTTTCCTTACTATGTGTCCCTTCACTAACGCTTGAAGCTTCACTAATGCCTTCAGTGCTCTTAACGCCCTTCTCGCCTGAATTAAAGACAATTTTGTTACACACCTAATTCAAACCACAGAGTAATAATACTCCTATTAAATCTACTTATAGTTTCCCAACCACTATCATTTTCTTCTAAATGGTACACACCTAATTTGAATATCCGAAAGCAAAAGATTAGAGAATCTTTAAATTATGTGTTTGAAGTTTGAACTACATAACCTATCCAATTATGATATAAAGAAAAAATAAACTAAATAAATTGTGAAAAAGATAGGTTGCAACTTTGATAGTAAAGGGATGCAACTTTAAAGCTCAAAAAGCTTAAAAAACCATCTGTAGTTTCACTTTTTAGTAAAATACACTTTGAAACTTTGGAAACTAAAATAAAAGAAAGAACTTGGGCTCTCTTTATTATTCTTTGTTGCTTACTTGGTTTAGTGTAAAAATTGATTTATTACAAAGGATAAGCCCTTAGCTGAATCCAGAGTTAGGTAAGATTTTGTTTGAGATAATATTAGCATATTTTTTGGGACCAAATTTTAGCTATAGTAAGTAGTACCATTAAATAGTGTCGGTACTCGGTAGAGAATCCGGAATCGTATCGGTTTCTAACAAGTTTCTTGGTATCATTATTCATTCATTTGTCTCCTTTCATAGTCTTTTTCAGGGACCAATACAAATAAAAACAAATTATGCTCATTCTTTCTATTTTTCAGTAAATATTTCAGTTTGGGTTTAAGTAGAAAAATCAACATCAGACAGCTATTTCACACTTTGGCTCAAAATCTTTTTTCTATAAAACAGAATTATATAATAAAATTTCGAATTTGAGTATTCAAGATTTTACTTAGAGAAGTAATTACTTACCAAGTAGCCACGAAAAGCGGATTGAATCTTCATGGCCGCTCTATACTCTTGAGACCACCGACGATTACTCCGACTAATTTGTTTTACCGACGAGTTTCTACCACCATTGGTTAGTCTCACGACTTCCGCCGCCGCACGAGCAGCAG